ACCAACTCAACAAATTTCGTACTGAAATCCTATCCGTGTCCTTGATGGTTCCTGTGTTCACGTCGCGGGGATGGACCACAGTGATTCGGAAGGCCGTGGTATCCTAGGTCCTACCATCGTACAGGGGCTTCCGTCGAGAGTGACCGAGACGAACCAAAACTTGCGCGACTCGTTCGGCTCGGGAGTTTCATATCGGATCGGTCGTCGTCCATTATGATCGGGACCGCAATATTCATTATGTATCCCGGGTGACTATCGATGAGTCGGCTACCCGAGCCGGGCAAACCGATGCTTCCTGCTGCGTCGCGCGACATCCAGACCCATCGATCGACACGTCTCCGGCCATAGCGTATTTCTGGCACGAGTTGCACATTCGCGGGCCAACATCTATCAAGTTTTATTATAATGAAGATTTTAATGAACATCTAATGCGAAGCGTGCAGCCAAACGTCTGTCAGACCGTAATATGCGATAACCGGCTCCTTCGCTGGCAAGATCCGGCTCACGGACCGCCGAGCACTGCCGAAAGGGCAGATAAGGTGCAGAACAAAGAAGAGGATCACGAACATTAAATGCTCCTTGACCTGCTCTAGCCGCAACCCCACCGAGGTGGGATAAGTAGTTTTCATAATGTATGTATGCATCCCACCCATTGAAATATCCTTAATTATTCTTAATATGACAGCGATAGACAATTCTGGCGTTAAAATGTTAAAATGGACCGCCAGACCATCCCACATACTGGTTGAACGCCCCTGGTCTAGGGAATCGACCCGAAATTAGTAGCATGTCGGTTGCGAAGGCGACCTTGGAGAAGGGGTCCCCTCGGTACACTTCTAGGATCGATACCCAGATTTAATGGCCTTTCCCCCTGCCGGCATGAATGAGTGGGGGTAGTCGTGTCATTTTTTGCCACCCACCACTCTCGCTTGGGGTGCCTATTGATACAGAATAACATATGTGTTACCACGGCAACGTACCTATCGAGTGGGGGAGACTCATCAGTAGGGACTTGGCTTTGTGAATGCGTGCATGCCTTTCGCTCCCGTTTGCCTTCATGCGTACTCACGAGAATGTGTTCCTCAAATTTATCAGATGACTTTTGGGTGAAATCTGTAGTGTCCAGTCGATATGGGGATAGCCCTGAAGACGTTTCAACGGAGCATTAGCGAAAGCTTCATCGGTGACCGGCTGAACAGAATCACGACGATAATCGTGGGGACCTAAGGGAGAAATCTTACCCTTATACGCGGGTTGTGGGAACCATTTCATTTCTCCACCGTCGTAAGAGTTTGTCGTTCTCCAGGCGTCTAGGCGCAACCGCGGCTCAACTGATCCTGAACGGCGTGAGTCCAGTAGTGGGATGAAGGTTTCTTTTTTTTTCGGGACGATGTGATACTGCGTAATAGTACCGTTTCGTCCCTTTCAAATCATCCATGCTCGAAATAGAAGAGAAAGTCGGCGATCTCTATGAAATATCTCAAGTCATTTTATGCGCATGTGGAGCTGACCCTGGTAGGTGGGTGTTGCTCCGGTGAATGTGACGCATCTGCGAGTGGGATCTAAAGAGTGGATCAACACTTCCATGTATTTTTTCACGATGAAAATTTACCCGTCAGCGATATTTGAAAGGGCTGAGAGTGGGATAACATCACGATCAGCAAGCATGCCCTTATACATGCCTTTATTATCTCTTATACTCAGTTGAAATCATTTCTCCATAATAATTGGAGGACATATAATTCCAGGTCGTCGTAGACACGGTCAGCATTTTCTAGATCGACTTTGTTCCGGTTTGGCATCATTACGATTCGACATCTTGCCCATTTGGGGCGTTCTCGCTTGCGTTTATTATAGCGAGCCTCAGAGGTTGGGCTTGAAAATTGTTTTCAAACGGGAAGATGAGAATGTTCAAGGTCAAACACCCGACCACAACACTGACTTGAAGCGGGATCCGCATGGATGCAGAAGGCTAAAAAGATGGGGGGCAAAAGAGAAAGTCGCAAAATGACGCCTCGAATCGGAGAATTTACGTGTATTAAAGGAAAGGACCAACGTTTCAAGGACACTAGGTCCCCTTCATCAAGGTTATCTAAAAATGGGAATGAGGAGACGTCAGATGAAATCGGATTAAAAGGAGTGGAATAAAATTATATTAGAAATATACTGTATATATAAATACACGACAGAGTCGAAATGGAAAGAAAAGTGATGGAAAAAAAACTGAATTAAATGAAATAACCAAGGGAAACGTGAAACGGAGGCAAGATACAGTCATGAAGCAGGAGTAGAGAAAGATGGGTAGGACCAGCATGGAAAGGGGGAAGGGGGGGGAAAGGGAAAGTGAGGTGACCTGGTTAGATTGTGGAGCTGATGGCGGGTTCAGCTTGTCTATCCAAAAACGTCAACGTAAAGGGGGTCAAGGAGTTTCACGCGTTCTATAGATAGGATGGAAAGATCTTTAAGGCGGTGGTCGTTGGTGTTAAAATGTAAGTTGGTTGTACTTCAGTTTGGGGTAACGAATGAGTTCTTTGGCACGATCACTGAACGGTCTCCCCATCTCGCTAACATACTAATCACCGCATTTCTTACATGTAAATTACATTTCTTACATATAAATGACAGTTGGAGCAGGTCAGTGAGAAGAAAATTTTAAAAGAACAAGTAACTTGTATCTGGTCTTGTATCTGGGTTGTTCAAGAGGAAGAAATATTGGTTTGAGGAGCTCGGAACGGGTGATGATGCGCGACTTGGAAAAGGTTGCTTCTATGACTTTAATTAGGAAGCTACGCACACGAAGAAACCCCTTTAGTTCCTCACAATCAAGGAAATTCATTGAAGTTTCGGAGTAGGCGTAGGTAAATTTGATAATAGGGTGTAACGAATTTAGGAGATTTATAAAAGCAAGGAAGTTTTCAAAATCATGGTGCAATAATAAGAAACAGTCGTCAATGAAACGAAGTAATTTTAAGGGCTTTAGGGTGATTTGTTTCAAGGCTTATTTTGCAAATTTACCCATAAAATGACAAACATAACTGCATTCACATTTGAAGCTCGTGGCCGTTCCGTGAATTTGGAGATAATTGATACCGTTGAACTGAAAGTTGTTGCGAGTTAAACAGAGGGTAAGGTCTAATGATGGTAGTAGTAGGGGTCAATGGGGTGACACGTTCATTCAGGAAGTGAGTAAATGCTTTTATGTCATCATGAGGAACGATGTATAAAGCGATTGGACGTCGATGGTGACTACAGCAAGGTTGGGTGGCAGCATGTCAAGATTAATGAGTTCCAGGTGGTAAAGGAAGTCGCTAGTGTCGCGGAGATAAGAGGGAGAAAGAGGGACAAGAGGGGCTAGATGGGGGTCCACAAAGCGTGGGATTCTCTGTCACAATGGCAATAATGCTGACAAAAAGACGTACGTCCTTCTAATCAGGTTTGTAGATTTTAGGCGGGATATAGAAGATGCCAGGTTTTGGACGGGTTGGAATGAGCCCCTTTTTGAACTTCTCAGAAATATTCTCAGCTTTTATGTGGGAGTCCCAGCATTTGGAGATATCAAGAGAGAAAGCTTTGACTAAGGTAAGAGCTGAGTTTTTGATAAAAGAATTTGTTCTTAAATTGCTAATTTGCTTTAGATATGTAATCAGCGGTTTAAGATGACAATTGATTGAAGCTTTTTTTATTACAATGTAATGATTTTTTTTTCAACCCGAGCAAAGTGTCGTATTCTTTGTCTGGATGAGGAGGGCGAGGTATTAGGGAACTGCTAAGTCGAAAGGCGGATTTGCATCAATTTGAGAAAGTCATCGAGAGGTGGACAACGACCCATTTGGCACAGCAACGTTGTGTTAACATTGAACAAAGGTTGTTTTTCCAATGTAACAATGTTGCCCCAACGTTGAAACATTGTTGAAATGAAACACAGTTCAACGTTGAAGAGTTGGTGCATTACAGTACCTCCTCCATTTCTTGAGTCCGAACGAGCTCTAATATCGATTAGATGACGAGACTTCATGTATATTAGATTGATGATAGTACTCTCTTAAGTACTGTCATCCCACGAAGGGATCCCTCCAAAGGACCACAGTAAGGACCACTACTTGGGATGATAGTACACTATTGAGTACTAACACCCCGGAGTTCCCTTTTGGTAGTATCAGATTGTGTCAGATCTTGATTGGATTGGTACAGACCAATTATCACTCTCTATTCATTTCGAAAGAGAAACAAGAGCCTGAGTCCGCGTAATAGCCATGTAGAAACTTAGGAAAATTGAGCATGTCTCCTCGGCTGGCTCCAACTACTACTGGCCAGGGGGTCCGACCCCCTGGGCAGTAGTACTTGGAGTCTCCTTCTGCCGAGTTACCTCCTTAAACGGGTTTATCAAGGAATTCTGAAGCCTTACCTTAAATTGTACGTGGAAAAAAGATCGGGTACTGTGAAAATTACAGCGGACTCATTCCAATGGCACCAGGATGAGAATAGCTGAAGTGGCGCTTAGGCGCCATCTCGCGCCGATTGGTAGAACCTATTTAATTGTGGATGTCTCAACATTTCAACCTTTTATCAATGTTGACACAACGTTGTTGTGTCGAATGGGGACCGACTGGTAGGTTGAAAGTAAAAGGGGTTTGAATTCATGGGAAGGATCATAGCTATTTAGGGGCGGATTGTGATGAAACCATCGAAGGCGGAGGATCCCGGAGAATTTTTGCAAGTCCATTTCTAATTCTAGTTTGTCTCGAAGAGCGAAAAGTTAGGCCTTTAGAGAGAACTTTAGCTTCAACATCGGAGATATTTTGACGAAATAGATTATAGATATGAAAGGGTGGGATGACTGGAACCGACGGCCGTTTAAAACGGCGATTTCTACGGCCGGGGTTATTTTTCCCAACACGGTCGGGTATAGATCAACAGGAAAGAACTGCCACAACGAAGGAACGTTGCAAAGTTAGGGAAAAGTCAGAACAACCGATGAAGCGTTGGAGCTTACGGAGTTTATGATGGTAAATATTACGGAATAAGATCTTATTCACTGATAAATAAGCAACTTGGAAGCGTACCTTGTCGGCAAAACGAGAGGTAGAGGGGAACTTCGTTTTATCAAAGTTAGGGGAAAGCAGAAGTCCTTTAGGAATGAAGCCATGGGAGAGGATATGCCTTAAGAAAATGACACGGAGTTGAACATGTATGCAATCGCGTATTGTATAATCGCGTATACAATCTCTGTAGGCGTTAAAAGACGACCGTGAGCGTGGCCATTCAGAAGGGTGAATTCACATGTTTTGAAGGGGAGAAGTGAGGTGAGCCCTAAGGGAAGGAAGTGTCAAGTGTACAAGGTGGGTACTAAGTCCCTTCAATATGCATAAAAATACTGTTTATTTGTTTTGTAGGTGATCAACATGTGATAACAGCTTATGGGGGTTTATCAGAGGACATGTGTCGAAACAGCGTTATCAGACAGTTGACCAACTCAAAACAGTTGTCTCAGCAGCTTTTTTGAAAATAACTAAACTACTAATTGAAAAGATGACTAAGAGAACATGGCGTCGCATTGAATTCTGCCGTGACAATGATGGGGTGCACATTGATATGTTGGATTCCTAATTACATTTGATTAAATAACATTTTTTATTTGTTTCATGTTATTATGTTATTTACTATTATTCTAAATTGTAATTGAAGGAACTTTGTGCTCACCCTGTAGAAGGATCACAGACGGATAGGTGGGTATGAAAAGATTCTCTACCCTTTCCAAAGTTCCAAAGAAAAGCGCTTCTATCCCTCGAGTGATACGAGTCATTCTAAGTCGTGCTGATTCTTGACCTTTTGCTTTCAGTACCGAATGGCTCTCGAGAAGAACCTGAGCATGGAGCAGCGGGACGAAGGTGGGAAATTCCTGGTCAAACACATCATGCCTTTCGACTTCGAGACCGTCCAGGATTGCCCGGCCTTGTTCCGAGGAATGAATGCCATGAACTACGTCCCCATCATCGCCGTCCTCGTCTACATCCTAAGCATCTACGCCTTCAGGTCCTGGATGAGAGACCGGAAGCCGTTCGACCTGAGGGTCCCCATGGTTCTCTGGAACACCTTATTGGCCCTCTTCAGCGGAATCGTCACGTTCCGCATCTTCTACTCACAGTTCTACACAGTCTGGTTTAAAGGATTCTTCCATGCGACCTGCACTCCCCTGTACGTCCGAGGAATTCACATTACATTTAACTGCATTTCTTCGGTCTCTACGATTTCATTCTTCATTTATGGCACTTTGAACTTGATTTGTCTCCCCCTGATCGGGTCAAGACGGGATCACTCGAATCAGGCACACGGCACATTTATTTTTCCCATCCCAGATACAGTCATGAAATATGTGCCTTTCATCCACACCTCCCTCATGGTTCGGCATGAGTACTTAGACTTTGCTGCCTGTGGGTACAGGAGAGCCTAATGTTCTCTGTGGCAAGTAACGAACTTGTTCAAGCGAAAACCGTTTATTAAATGACCAGATATTCTCTCAGTTTCCAGATCCGAATCTCTGATATAGTGTGGTAATTAAGTGTAGGGAATAGGGGGATGTGATGCACCTAATAACTCCTCCAATGAGACACTTTCAAGGACAACATTTGGACATGAATACGAGTGAGAGATTTTCATTCGTCAGCCTGTACCGCAACAAGTACACAATTACCGACAAGGATCTTAATTTTCCTATTTGTACTGAGGGTGTTTCAAAAGTAAGGGCAATTCCTGTCTAAGCCATCCATTTGAGCCTATACCTAAGAGACCGCATAATGAGCGCAAAGACTGATCAATTTCATTTAGAATGCGCGCTTTAATTGGAGCGAATGCCGCTGATGGCGCTAGTAGACCCCTAATCAACATGGCGAGTATGCTCTCTGTGTGCACCAAAAAAGAGAAGTCGTCTGTTATCCGTTTTTGTGGGCTAAATGTGTTAAACCAGCGGATAATCAGAAACGAATGTTAGCTCAGTATGGTGAGTAGTGTATGGCAACGAAGCTGTACGAATGGATAGAAGGGTTCCGAAGAAAGAATAAAGAAGAAAAGCTGCTGTGCTTGGACGTCCTAATCGACTGTCATCAACACACTAGTTCATTTCGGAACCTTTCTATCCATTCGTACACTTTTCGTTGTCATACATTACTCACGTACTGAGCTAACATTCGTTTCTGAATATTCGCTGGTTTAACACATTTAGCCCACAAAAACGGATAACAGACGACTTCTCTTCCTTGATGCACAAAGAGAGCATACTCGCCATGTTGATTTGGGGTCCACTAGCACCAACAGCGACATTTGCTCCTACTAAAGCGCGCATTCTGAGCGAAATTGATCAGTCTTTCCGCGTATTATGCGGTTTCCTAGGTATAGGCCCACATGGACGGCTTAGACAGGAATTGCCCTTACTTTTTGAAACACCCTCATATTTTCACGTTTNATTGCCCGGCCTTGTTCCGAGGAATGAATGCCATGAACTACGTCCCCATCATCGCCGTCCTCGTCTACATCCTAAGCATCTACGCCTTCAGGTCCTGGATGAGAGACCGGAAGCCGTTCGACCTGAGGGTCCCCATGGTTCTCTGGAACACCTTATTGGCCCTCTTCAGCGGAATCGTCACGTTCCGCATCTTCTACTCACAGTTCTACACAGTCTGGTTTAAAGGATTCTTCCATGCGACCTGCACTCCCCTGTACGTCCGAGGAATTCACATTACATTTAACTGCATTTCTTCGGTCTCTACGATTTCATTCTTCATTTATGGCACTTTGAACTTGATTTGTCTCCCCCTGATCGGGTCAAGACGGGATCACTCGAATCAGGCACACGGCACATTTATTTTTCCCATCCCAGATACAGTCATGAAATATGTGCCTTTCATCCACACCTCCCTCATGGTTCGGCATGAGTACTTAGACTTTGCTGCCTGTGGGTACAGGAGAGCCTAATGTTCTCTGTGGCAAGTAACGAACTTGTTCAAGCGAAAACCGTTTATTAAATGACCAGATATTCTCTCAGTCTCCAGATCCGAATCTCTGATATAGTGTGGTAATTAAGTGTAGGGAATACGGGGATGTGATGCACCTAATAACTCCTCCAATGAGACACTTTCAAGGACAACATTTGGACATGAATACGAGTGAGAGATTTTCATTCCTCAGCCTGTACCGTAACAAGTACACAATTACCGACAAGGATCTTAATTTTCCTATTTGTATAAGGGTGTTTCAAAAGTAAGGGCAATTCCTGTCTAAGCCATCCATTTGAGCCTATACCTAGGAGACCGCATAATGAGCGCAAAGACTGATCAATTTCATTCAGAATGCGCGCTTTAATTGGAGCGAATGCCGCTGATGGCGCTAGTAGACCCCTAATCAACATGGCGAGTATGCTCTCTGTGTGCACCAAAAAAGAGAAGTCGTCTGTTATCCGTTTTTGTGGGCTAAATGTGTTAAACCAGCGGATAATCAGAAACGAATGTTAGCTCAGTATGGTGAGTAGTGTATGGCAACGAAGCTGTACGAATGGATAAAGAAGAAAAGCTGCTGTGCTTGGACGTCCTAATCGACTGTCATCAACACACTAGTTCATTTCGGAACCTTTCTATCCATTCGTACACTTTTCGTTGTCATACATTACTCACGTACTGAGCTAACATTCGTTTCTGAATATTCGCTGGTTTAACACATTTAGCCCACAAAAACGGATAACAGACGACTTCTCTTCCTTGATGCACAAAGAGAGCATACTCGCCATGTTGATTTGGGGTCCACTAGCACCAACAGCGACATTTGCTCCTACTAAAGCGCGCATTCTGAGCGAAATTGATCAGTCTTTCCGCGTATTATGCGGTTTCCTAGGTATAGGCCCACATGGACGGCTTAGACAGGAATTGCCCTTACTTTTTGAAACACCCTCATATTTTCACGTTTTAATATAATTTTTGGTCTGACGTGATGTAATCGATTTAACTTGAATTGAGTCACTATCAAAATCGGTTTCTCATGCGATTATTCATGTGCCTACAAATTACATGTTGAAATGTAGCTTTTTTCATTGC